GGGACTATCTCAAATCTGTTTTTATATCTAATTATAAAATTTTAAATTTCTAAAATGGTTAAAATCAAGTAGATCTATAAATATATGAAAATCTTGAAAATGGACGTTGTAGATAATATGTTGTAAAATGCACTATATCTGAGACTTAAAGTCTTTTTATTTTTCATAGTCATACATCTCGATGTCAAGATGATCAATCAAAAGGTTTTTCAACATTAAAACTTCCTTTTCTGATGGATTTTTTAGGGGCATCCGTAATTCTACATTATAAGGTAGCATCCTTATATAAACTTTTTTCCAATTAAAATCTTGAAAATTGATGGTCAAAAACTTGAAATCTATTTTTTCTCATGTCCATGCATCTTGAATCTGAGATGATCAATTTGAGGATATATGAGCATCAAAACAACCTCTTATAATGAAAGTTTTGAGGTGAACTCTAAATTAATTGTTTAGAGCCTTGCACTTATATGAACTTTTTCCTTATTTAAATATTAATACTATTCGGAGTCTAGTCTACATGGTCCCGAACTTGGGTCCAAGATTTGGACCCAAACTTCACGTGTCAAGTCCAATTTTTGGACTCATATACCTGGACCCAGGTCCTCCGTCGTTAGGTCCAGGTCAGGTTTGGGTCGATTTCCACCCTGATGAGAGGCAAAGCATATTTTTATTCAAAATTCCCCAAGCTGAAGCATTCATCCTCAGTCCATTCCTCTAAGAGAACGAATCGATTAAAGAAGAAAAAGGGTTTTATAAGGTTGCCGCCTTGTAATGTAGTAAAAACGCACTTCAGGAATATATCGAAAAATATCGTTCCAATGTTGAAAAACACTCTAAAGGTTCGTGTAATCCTTGTGAAAAAGGGCTGCGAAAAAAAAAATCTTAAAGCCTAGAAATGGTACATCTTATAATACATTGTCTACACTGTCTAATTTCAAGATTTTCATGTGTTTATAAATCTATACTACTTTTTAAATTTTGAATTTCATAATTAGATGTGAAGTACTTTTTCAGATCATCATTGAATTTTTGACTCCCAAATCGTATCTTTCAATAAACTTTGGAGGTGCACTTTGGATTGTTAAAAGTTGATACCTTCTATGATTTCTGACACCAAAATCACATCTTTCAATAAGCTTTGGAGGTGCACCTTGGATTGTTTAAAGTTGATACCTTATATAAACCACAACT